ACACATTCTCTTTGTCTATTACCACCATGTGCAATCTTCTCTCCATTTCTGAAAACTCCAGCCCTGCGCCAGTTTTATTTATTTATTTTTCACCAGGTTACAAGTACGTTGCTGTGACAGTGCGGCACCCGACCAACCGGCAGCGAGCGACTACACGGAAAAGCTCTTTGGTGGAAGCGTCTGGGGAGGGTCCTGTGAAATGACATTCGGAGAAGATACAGCTTTATCAGCAGCCAAACTGAGCGTCTAAAGTCTCATGGCGGGGGACAGAACGCTGCCACATCCAGAGGCGAAGGCAGAGAGACGTGTTTTGGAGGTTATGTTAGGTTATTAGAGGCTAAACTTCCCCTATGGACGCCGCTGATCAATGATGTAGCGTTAGCATCGCTTCTATTGACAGGAGAGTGAAGGAGCTCTCTTTAGATGTGTCTGTGTCACTCACTCTCTGCCACGAGTGATGATAGACGGATTGATCCAAATGACTGAGAATGACTGAGAACGTTGACAAGGCATAAGTAAGTTATGTTTATATATATAGCGCATTTTACAGACCAAGGTCACCCAATGTTCAGAGTTCAGAGTTGTTTCCATTCTCTCCACACACACGAGCATTACATTCAGACCTATCGTACATGTTTTTAGTGCTAGGGGAAACCGGAGCACCCGGAGGAAACCTATGCAGACACGGGGATGACAGGCAAACTCCACACATAAAGGCCTAGAGGTGGAAGGTGGAATCAAACCCAGCTGTGAAACATAAGCTCTAATCGCTGGGTCACCGTGCCACCCTAAAAAAGTTTTCTATTCGTTGTTCGATGGATGTTGGGTCAGAGAACGTTTGGCCTCTGTGTGTGTGTGTGTGTGTGTGTGTCTGTGTGTGTGTATCAGTCTAAATTAAGAGTGGGCTGGTCAAGTACTGACGTCACCGCAGTGCATGCCAAATGTGGAAGAAGACGTTGGGTCAGAGAGTGTTTGGGCCTGTGTTTGTGTGTGTGTGTGTGTGTGTATGTGTGCATTAAGTATTCATGATTTATTTTCTTGTTTTGATAACAATACAAACTTTAGCGTACAAAAGAAGCTAGCATAAAATCTCTAACTTGAGCATTAAAAAGAAGAACAAAAACTGAAAAACACTAATTACTAAAAGCTAAATCATAGGGCACTCATATTGTGTATTGTTTTTATTTAATCTTTCATTTTGCCTCACAGAGGGTCCATAAAAAAAACAACACAAACAAAGAAGAAATTCATACCGCTTATGCTCAAAAACAACACGATCTGACACGATTTTTAACTAAATAATGACTAAACACTCACTCCACCTTAAGCTATACATTCACGCATAATATTTCCTCCGCCATTTGTATTGATCCGGGCTCGGAACTGTGACGCCGCGAGGCTGTAACCCCGGTATTAGAACACGCTTAAGACTTGTATTATAAGAGGTCTGTTTGGAGAGGATGCTCTTTGTGTCAACAAGATGCTCATTCGTTCAGCGTCTAAGGATAATCCCCGAGGGTCAGAAGGGTCGGGGGCCTATCACAGCTGCTTAGAATGTCAGGCAGGACAATCTCCACTCTGCAGCCACACACCCCCGTTCCATTACTCTCTCCTACTTACAGTCGCTACCTGCTGCTGCTGCTGCTGCTGCTGCTGCTGCTGCTGCTGCTGCCTCTCAGGGATGCAACCGCAATTCACACATTTTCTAAACCTAAACAGTAACATGAGGAGGTTTTACTGGCTGTACCTTTTGAATGGTGCGTTGACAGGACCAAAACTTGATCTCAAATTAATGAATACATAAATGTCCGTGTTGACAAATGATGAAGGAATCATTAGAAATTCAGAGATTAAAATATATTATAATATTATTTTTTTCCATTATTATTTTATTTTATATATGATTATTATTATTGAATCATTTTTAAAGGTTTAGATTAAGATTAAGGGCGACAGTAGCTCAGTTGGTAGAGCATTGGCCTTTGTGCCTGAAGGTCGTGGGTTCGAGCCCATCGTAAGACCTACTTCACGACTCCCACTGATGACTGCTGTCGTTGTGTCCTTGGGCAAGACACTTAACCCTACTTTGCCCAAAGCCTCAACTGAAAGATCTCAGCTCCTGTGGACTCACCACCTGCAGGAGGATCAGTGAGAGGCTGGTGCTATGTGTACTGGGTGCAGCCCTGACTGCCAACCCCCCGACCCAGAAATGGATTAAGGGGAAGAAAATCGATGGAGATTAAGAGATCCTTTATACTGTACGTCCCACAGTGGGGAAATGAGTTCAGTGTTGCAGAAGAGTAGGAATGAGGACCCAGGACACAATAAGTGAAATAAATATACTAAAATAAAACAAAATCTATAACTTTAGCATAATGAAGAAGCAAGAATTAAGTATGAAATCTATGAAGTAAGTAAAGATCTTTAAAAATGCCTTGTTAGTGTTTTTCTGTCTGCATTTATTATCAATGTATGCCTTAGGTTGTACATTTAATGTATTGTTTTTTTACGCTAAAGAATAAACCAGGCCACCAGAGAATATAGTAAAATATTAAATCAGGCAGAGAAAATAAACAGGGCTTAAAGTAAAAGAAAAAATTACGGCAGGACTGAATATGGAAATGCTCAGACTCATCACATAAACAATATCGTTTTAATCCATTAAACTCAAACAGACTAAATCATACAGTAATTATGAGCCACAGGAGTCACAGATTCACATTTAATACTGTAGAGACAGAAGTGGGGTTTGTCTTTCTTACTCTTCATAACCATCATGCTAATTCACTTTGAAAATAGTGGCGGATAAATATTCATATGGCTGTATAATTTCAATGGAATCAATAAACTGCTTATTTGTTTGCACTTTGAAGCCTTGTATAGGATTGGAGGTGGATAAAAGGCTTGAAATGTATAACAGAAGTTGTCTGAAAAGCCTTTAGGATGTTTTTACCGAGACAAAAACTTTACATTTTCCAATTTATACCACGACCAGCTCCTTACTCAATCGAATCAAGACAACATTTCTCCATACAAGCCAATGTGTTAAAGGTGAACGCCCAATTATACATTTTCAGAGCAAACCAAATTGACATCTCCTGTTAAAAAATGACTGTGCAGGTTTTTCATCATCCGGCATAATTTGGCCTGTGTCCACAAAACCCAAAATTACATATGAACCATGCAAGCGCCGCGGTAACAACACAACAAAAGATTTTTCATTTCTGCTTCCCTCCAGAAATAATAATGTTGGGCTTGATTTTTGAGCCTTGGTATTTGCTGCTGAAATCACATTTTCTTCCCTTCATCCGCACGGCCTCAAATTAATCTCGACTTTGACACAGTGCGGCCGCCAACGACTGTCAGATTTTTCCCAGTTCAGAGTCGATAAATGTCTACTGTACAATACATTACGCACAGATCAGATCAATATGGCCGCTTACTGATCTTGTTAGGTAGAACCGGGCTATAAAATGTGTCTTGGCAGTAAAATATGTTTATTGTGTAGTAACAGTGAAGGGGAGCCGTTCGCAAACAGATCCCCTGGTACAGTGGAGATGGATGATCCCGGAGTTGGGCATGCCTTTCCTCGCAAATGTAAACAAATGAACTCGCAACGCTTTGCCCTAAATCTGTAACCAAAGATTCCAGACAGATTGAATACAGCGAGAGATTAAGCATTTGGCAAGAAGTTTACATGATACAGTGAAGGACTTGTCACTCTGAGAACTTTTTACTATAGCTGCGATGAAGCGATTGCGATTGGAAGAAGAAGAAGAATGTGAGTTATTTTTGTTGAGTAAGTTTCTAGACAAGGCAAGGCAGGTTTATTAATGTAGCGTAGAGTACGTACAAGGCAACTCAAGGTGCGTAAAGAGACATGATAGGAAAAATACAAGGCATTACGATAAATTATCACGGTAATCGAAAATGAATACGTCTGTCTTTAAACACGGTCTAGTAAATGGTAACAGTTGTAATGCTAGTGTAGCCACAGCTGCCCTGGCGTAGGTGGAGAGAAGTGAGGCCATCAATCTGTGGCATCAGTCCCAACACCAACCACTCATGATCTCACATCACATTGGAATGGCAAGACATCAAGGCCAAAGAAAGATGACCAATGAGTCCCATTGAATAGATCATGTACTTCATTGCAAAAAATGATAATTAGGTGGTAATAATTGCTTGAATTGAGTGGTTTTTACCTTAATTTGACTACATTCTGACTGTCTTAAAACAAGATTTTCCACTGGGACAAGGCCATCTGACAAAGCGAGACATTTCTTGAATCCCATTGGGAAATCTCATTATGAGGCAGTAAAAATGTGGTCAAATTAAGATACATTCTTGGCTTGTTTTTCATCACTTTTTGCAGTGTAGCGGCTTGAAAAAGTATTCATACTCATGTTACAACCACAAACTCAAGCTGTTTTTTAATGCGGAAGACGACCACCAGTGTAGACAAATATGGAGTGAAAGTTGGAGCCAAAATTAGACATGATTTAGATTGCGTTTGGAAAAAAAAATAGTTTTGCAAAAATATTCAGCTAACTTTGAAGTTGAATGGTCAAATGTCAACCTAGATAAGTAGAAAAAACTAAAACTAATTTAAGTATAACAGTTGTTTTGTGATGCCTCAGAATTCTAAAGCGTGGTTCGGTTACGCAAAGATTAAATAAGCTTTAGGTATCTCACAGAGCAATCCATTAGTCTCACATGGAAAGAGTTTAAATACACATCACATTTTTCTCACAAGATCTCCAGCATCCTTGAGACAAACGCAGTCTTTTTGTAGCTGTGTATAGAGGTCAGAAGCTCACCGAGATTAGAATATGGTCGTTTTTGCCATTCACAGAAGACATATTAAACCTCCTACAGCCAACATAGTCTCTGCCTGTGCATATCCAGCGCATCTGCCAGGTCACGACACAGAGTTTAATCCAGTGAGGGCTCTTTATATCTACGTAAGAAGGAGCGAGTGCGAGTGCTATAGCTGTAAAATGCTGCCCCTGGCTCGCGGCCGTACGTATAGCCACAGCCAGGAAGACGTATTACAGCGTTATTGATCGATCTTGCCTGGGAGGCGACCCCAAACATGGCTGACACTATCTTCTGTTCTGTCTGTTCATCTCTCTCACATTATGGCCCTCGTCCTGTACGTCGCGCTGCCATTTGCCTTCACCTCAGCCCTGCGTCGCTTTTTTACAAATGACTCCATCCTTAGCCCCAGATCTTATCACTCATGGTACTATTACTCCTGTGGCTCCAGGCCCAACCCCTTTACCGAGCTCATCTCATCTCGCCGGGAGAGTCTGCTGCTCTCCACAAGACTGCTCTATTGCCCTGTCCACACGAAGTCAAGCTCAGGCCTAAACGCAAAAATACTTTATCAATCCAGTGTATCGTCCATACGAGGCCGGCGTTTTGGGGGGGTGTAAACGAACATTTTTGAAACTAGGTCCCAGAGTGGAAAGATTTCAAAACTCCGTATATGCCGCTCCGTGGTTACTGCCTCTCCGCAATGTATCTGAGACGCTTGCGTCATCGCCCCGCCTCTTGTTAAAGCACGCATGCGCCGCACTCAGAAAATAATGACAACAACAATGTAGCTTGTTGGTTTTGTAATCCAGTGTGACCCGAAGCAACAGTTCAACCTCATCGTCCGTCCATACTAATGTAGTACCAGCTCGCCCACTCGCCATGTTGTCTATTTACAACATTCTGCGCATGCCCACGGAAGTTTGGGCTTGATCCCGTCCATTGCGTCACAGCGCCACCAACAGGTCTGGCATAGTTTCACAGCGTTTTCAGGCGTATTGACTACATTCATATGGACGCACACATTTACTGAGCTAACTCCGTGTTTACAGAAAAAGTTTCTGAAATTATAAGCGTTTTGTCTTCGTGTGGATATAGCCTATATCCATTGCCTTATGGCTTGAGGTTAGTGGGTTTGAGCCCAACTCAAGATCTATTTCAGCACTCCCACTGATGTCTGCTGTCAGTGTGTCTTGGGCAATATACTTAACCCACTTTGCATGAAGCCCCCGCTGAATGACCTAGCAGCTCAGACTAGAGCAGACCATCCTCCCGTGGACACCTCAGGAGGATCAGTGAGGGGCTGGTGCTGTGGTGAATTAGGTGCAGCTCTGATGATCACGCTCCTAACCCAGACATGATTAAGGGAAAGAAAATAAAATGGATGGATGGAATTCCTGTAGTGCAATTTTTCCATCTACATTTTAACCATCCATGATGCCACTAAGTCTTAGTCCAGGAAGGGGGGGGGGAAGGAGAGGGTAGGGGGGGAGCAGTTGGTCCTGTACGGAACCGTTCCCCAGACCTGAAGACCTTCTTACTGAGAAACGAGAGCATACTATCCACTACAGCCACCGTGCTGGCCCATTTCTTGCCTCTGGAGTGTATTACAGATTTATGAATGACATATTTGAGCAGCCCCCATTGGCATTCATTGTCGTAAAATTACAGAAACGCCTCAAAAAAGTTTACCTCTGATTCAGCACTAAGCCTATCCTGATATCTTGGGGACCTGAAGAAAGTCTAAACACAGAGAGACATTGTTGTATAAAAAAAAATTGTCACGTATAAGAAAAACTAACACACACTCAATAAAAACAACAAACTACATTCCCGCTATTGGAGTTTTGGGAGGTTGCATGAGACCCTCGGTGACCTCCTTGGAACATCTGCTGCAGGAAAGGCACTGTGCATTTCAAAGTGGTGCGCGTGTCACAGCGAATAAGAGCTTGGGTGTGGTGACAGCTCCACACTGGCTGCACTTGCCCCACAGTACACTGCTGTGACAGCTCAACGGGGGCGGTGATGGGCCCATGACATGAGCTCAATACAACGCCACTGGATGACAGGACCAATCATTCAACACGAGTTTGCAAATTTGTTCCCTATTTGCACATCAGAAAAGTGAAGAAGGCTGTTAAGATAGTCTCCGAGACAGGGCTTAGGCGTCTCCGCATCACTCCGACCCAACAAACCATGCCTATTTTTAATGTTTTATCCAACTCCACGACACAGGCAGCAATGCTGATTGTCAGGGGCAGCGAGACAAGGGAAAGACAATATCTACAGCCTTTCTTTTAAAACAGGGACATACAACAAGCAAATCTAAATTTCACAGCCTTTGACCATGTTATAGTTGGCTTTTACACACGCGACTTTGTTCCAGGGTGACTCATTCATGTTTGAGTAATTGACGCACTCCTGAAGTCCAGAACATAATTTCTTTGCTCTTCTTGACCACCACCCTGTAAATGGGAGTCCTTTACATCGTTTTTCTAATGTTTCTGTTATCGAATCAAATGTCATTTTTGCTCAAAGAACAAAACATCAATTGCTAACTTGTCTGCAAGTAAGAACCGAGCATTTGGATGTGGCCATACTACTGTATCAGGGAAAGTATGGTGGTAGTAGAAAACTACACTTTATGAATAGAAAAAAAAAGGAAACATTCTACGGTTTTGTCAAAAAGTTGAGAGGGCGTTCTTTCCTTCAGTTTTTAGAAGCCTGCCATAGGGATTTTGATCAAATCAAAGTGTCCCAGATTATGACTGTAACTGGCCCAAGAATATTATGACTTCAATAAAAGCTGGGTTTCACCTCAATAGAAATAAAAAAAACTATGTAATGAAATGCATTCTAACTTCTCTCCAAACTGTTGGTCTATCACAATTTGAAAAAGCCAAGCTTTTTACCAAGTAGCTACATGTTTAGAAACAATTGTGAATTAGCTTTGTGCAGAATACAATATTATTGTTCCTTGTTGGTATTAGACTTCACTATTTAGAAATGTTTTAATCCAATTAACCCTAACCCAAAATGGCAAAATGAGAGAAAAACCTTTTGACGGTCTTGAAACAGGATTTGCCAAATGAAAAAGAAATACAAAGCTTTGCCAATCTTGAAATAAGTTTGTTGTTTCAGCATTATGTGCCATTTCAAAATCTTTGTGAAAGACCTCAAAATATAATCAAGATAAAAACCAATTGAGCCATTAGCACACCATTATGTTTCCTTTTTATTTCATCTGTACCAAGGATAGCTCACTGCCACTTTTATCAGAGAAAGAGCTGGTAGCTGTGTCTTCCCAAAAGTACAATTAAAGTTTGTCCAATTTACACTGCTGAATAATATATAATTGTAATCTTATACACTGTATAGATCCACTAGACAGTTATACTGATAGATATATTGACGTATTTAGAGCTAGCTCAGAACACACAGTTAATTTTATTTTGTGTGCTCCATCTTTGCTCTACTGCTGACTGTAATGTGCGCTGCACATTGAAAAATTCCCCCACTGTGGGACAAATACAGTTCTCTTATCTTATGTTAAAAAAAAGGTATAAAGGAGGATTTCCCAAAATTTTAGGAAAAGAACGAAACTCTCTGGTCCTCTTTGACGAGTACGTATCACCAGAATGATTGACAATTAGGAGTAGCCAATATTCTTGAGCAGGGGTGCACAATACGTCCGATCGCGATCTACCCTAGTCGATCTCAAAGGTAGTATTGGTAGATCGCATTAAATAAATAAAAAATTTCACATTCTAAGAACTAATATATTACAAAAAACCATCCGGGCAAAGTGGAGATTTTTTGAAAACTCCGTTAATGCATTTGTGTGGAGCTCAGAGATAACCGGAGTTTTGCGTTAATCAAGCCACAGCCACATACCCCTAAATTCCCTCTGATCACTGAAGCATGGATCATACTACCCATAAAACAACCTGTTCGCTGTGAAGATGCTCGCAGCAGCGAACACCTCACATCAGAAGCAGCAAAGTGATCGCGGGGACTCTCACGCTTGAAACAACTAAACCAGGACTAAACCAGGACTAAACCAGGACTAAACCAGGCTGAGACGGTCAGTGCTTGTAAACATACGTCTTTACTCTGAGTGTCTTCTAAGTCAGAGATTTTATACTTAAATCTTACATCTCTACATTTTTGACATGCTTCTGTATTCTGCCAGATTCGTGTTGTGCTGTGTGCTTCTCAATCCTACAGCTCTTTAAACTGGAGATGCAACAGTGGAATTTCCCGACTGTGGGACCAATAAAGAACCTCTTAATCTTAGCTTAAAAAGAGTCGATTCTACCGTTTGCCAAGTAAAAAAGAATGTTGTTTTCTGGCGTAGAGCAGCATGCCCCTGAGTGCCACTGTTTTTGCATTTACAGTTGTTGTGTTTTTTGTGTGTGTGTTTGTGCCATGTGTCAATCGGCCTCCAGCCTTCAGGATTTCACACTGAACCAGAACCAAACAGAGCGTGTGTAAGTTCACCGGAGGAAAGGCCCAGAGGAGGGGAAGAAGGAGAAGGAGAGGAAGGGGAAGAAGAAGGAGGAGAAGGAAAAGGAGGAGGAGAAGGAGAAGGAGAAGAAGGAGGAGAAGGAGAGGAAGGGGAAGAAGAAGAAGGAGAAGAAGGAGGAGAAGGATGAGGAGAAGAAGGAGAAGAAGAAGGAGGTGAAGAAGAAAAAGGAGAGGGAGAAGGAGAAGGAGAGGAAGGAGGAGAAGAAGGAGGAGAAGGAGAAGGAGAAGAAGAAGAAGGAGGTGAAGGAGAAGGAGGAGGAGAAGGAGGGGAAGGAGAAGAAGAAGGAGAAGAAGGAGAAGGAGGAAGGAGAAGAAGAAGGAGAAGAAGGAGAAGGAGGAAGGAGAAGAAAGAGAAGAAGAAGAAGAATAAGGAGGAAAATGAGAAGAAGGAGAAGGGGGAGGAGAAGGAGAAGGAGAAGAAGGAGGAGAAGGAGAGGAAGGGGAAGAAGAAGAAGGAGAAGGAGAAGAAGGAGGAGAAGGAGAAGAAGGAGGAGAAGGATGAGGAGAAGAAGGAGAAGAAGAAGGAGGTGAAGAAGAAAAAGGAGAGGGAGAAGGAGAGGAAGGAGGAGAAGAAGGAGGAGAAGGAGAAGGAGAAGAAGAAGAAGGAGGTGAAGGAGAAGGAGGAGGAGAAGGAGGGGAAGGAGAAGAAGAAGGAGAAAGAAGGAGAAGGAGGAAGGAGAAGAAGAAGGAGAAGAAGGAGAAGGAGGAAGGAGAAGAAAGAGAAGAAGAAGAAGAATAAGGAGGAAAAGGAGAAGAACGAGAAGGGGGAGGAGGAGAAGGAGAAGAAGAAGGAGAAGGAGAAGAAGGAGAAGAAGGAGAAGAAGAAGAAGAAGGAGAAGGAGAAGAAGAAGAAGAAGGAGAAGAAGAAGAAGAAGAAGGAGAAGGGGAAGGAGAAGGCTCAACACAAGAAAAGAAAAACTTTGTCCACGAGCACTTCCCCATTGAGCTGGCAGGTTAGCATTGTCCATCTATATAGAGTCTATGCACATTACAGACAGATCCTACGGAGCATCAAAAGCGTCTATCTATGACAAACTACATTCAAGCAAAAAAACAAAAACTTGCCATAAGAAAAAAAAAAACATTAATTTACAGTTCATGTTTATTTTTAGTAATTAAATCTTCCCATCTGACTTTTCTCGGCGGGCTAACTCGGCCTCTGCACGACTGGCACCAGATAGACCTGCTCTTTTGACCACTACGCTGCTATTTTCACGCTCTGTATTATTCCCTTTTGTGGCTGCTGTAAAAGTGACAGAAAATCAAAGTGCACATAAGGGAAAGGCACATGGATTAGCACCGGAGCCATCAGCGCCCTGTTTACAACTCAACTCCTATTTGTCGCTTAGTATCGAGCGGCCGTGGCCCACATGAAGGCCCTGTTTGATTTTTTAATTTGTACGTTTTATGATGTTGTGCGTATACGGTGAGAGCAGATATATTTTTCTACTGAGAGAGGCGAGGATCAGCGGGGGAAAAGGCAGCACAGTGTTTCTGATGAATGAACCCAGGAGAGAAATGCAGCGTTTGTATGGGTACAATTAGATGATCATGTAGGAAAGAGTGTAATGTTGTCGCACGGGTGTTGGGTGATGCGAGTTTATATGTGGCATGTGTGTGTGTGTGTGTACTTGTAAGGCAAATTAAATGTCAAACTGACTCTGTCTCAGGCTGACCTTTTCAGTCTGAAAAATACTATAGTTTTTTGCATGTGACATTGCTGTTGCTTGTTAATGACTGAAGATATTATAAGACAAATTTGATATAATGAAAAAAAAATACCTAGAATCTCTGTTGCGCACTGGGGTAGTCTTGCAGTTTTTCCAATGTGGTTTTACTGCAAATGGCAAATTCATTCTTGAATTTGGAATTGTAGATATGAATATGAATGAATAGCAGATTACTTACTGGTGTACTAACTTGAAAAAACAAAAGTGTTGCTCATAAATGTAGTTTTGGAAATGTCTCAATTAAAACATTGAAACGATTAAAAAATGTTTGCAGCTAGTCATTTAAAAAAAAAAAAAAAAAAAACTCCTCCCTCTGGTGGTAGTTACAGGCTCAATGTTTTTCTAAAAAAAACATCAAATTTCACATTTCAAACATGAGAGCAAACCATAACTTTATAATTGTTTAAGGCCATATTTATTGTGGTTTTTATTTTATTTTATTTTATTTTATTTTATTTTATTTTATTTTATTTTTTTTATTATTGACAAGCGATGCTTACGAGATTACATATCTTCAATTATTTCACAATTATAGCACAATGTTTCTTCTCTAAGTCGAGCACAGTTTTTGAAAGCAGAGATAGATGCAATGGTTTTCAAAGTGGGTGGACATATGCAATAAAACCACACTTTTTTTCTTTTCCCCTTTGAATTACGCTTGTTCTGGTCAAGTCATCCTTCAAACCGGATCCGATAAGAGCGCGTCTGTCTCACGGGAAGCACGCGGCAGCCGTTTCTCCAGCTGAGCATCTGATAGTTACATAATGGAAGTCTCCTCCTCCTCCCTCCACACCTTTCCATCTCACACACAATAACACAAAAATGGCAAGTCGCAACTGTGACACGGGGTCGGGAAGCAACACTTAGCTATAGCTTCCCTCTGCCTCCTTACTTCCTCGTCTTCCTCGTCTCCTCTTCTTCCCTCGTGGCCAATCGCTGCCTTCTCACGTCGCCGCTTGTCACTTCTGAGACGCAGATCAGACATCCGCTGCCACCATGTGCAGAATCTGTCTAATTCCAGACACTTTATAAAGATCTGCCTCCAAGTGCTACTTTGGTAAAATCACAGATAAACACATAATTTGGTAAAAAGGTGACGTGTTGAAGGAGATTAACGGGAGAAGCAGGAGAGAGTGAGGGGAGATGAGGGCTTCTACTCACTCTATGTATCGTCACATCATAGAACATCCCAGAGACAAGAAGAAAATGTCTGTTTTTAAAACTGAGATTACAATAAAATCTCCCTTCCAACAGAGCCGGAGATACGGCCACTTGACCCGCTGGAAAATCTTATTTAAACACTCTCTCTGGCCTCCCTCTGGTCTCTCTCTGGTTTCTCTCTCGTCTCTCTCTGGTCTCTCTCTCTCGCTCTCTCTGGTCTCTCTGGTCTCTCTCTGATCTCTCTGTGCTCTCTCTCTGCTCTCTCTCTGGTCACTCTCTGGTCTCTGTCTGCTCTCTCTCTGCTCTCTCTCTGCTCTCTCTCTGGTCTCTCTGGTCACTCTCTGCTCTCTCTCTCTGGTCTCTCTGGTCTCTCTCTGATCTCTCTGTGCTCTCTCTCTGGTCTCTCTCTGGTCACTCTCTGCTTTCTCTCTACTCTCTCCCTGCTCTCTCTCTGCTCTCTTTCTGCTCTCCCTCTGGTCTTTCTCTGCTCTCTTTCTCTAGTAACTCTTGGTTTGACCTATATACATTCAACTCAAAATAAAAACCACTTGATTCAAACCTGCATTACCCATTTTAAAGTGTACAGAAGAATATTATACGTGTGCAATATCCTTTGTGGATCTTACCCATGTACAGTATTATCCTATACAAATATAGAACATCAATAATTGTAGTTTTGTTAAAGAAAAGGGGCTGAGGAGCGGCAAACATGTGGAAAAAAGACACAGCGATCAAACAAGTGGAGTCTATACAACCCTCTTTCTGAAAAGTGCAAATGGATTCATATGGATTGTACAAAAGGCAGTCCCAGAAGCGTTATATTTGCAGTAAGCACCAAGATAATGTCCTTCTGTAAATCTGTACAGCCTGAGACCCGGGTCAGATTTGGTGCTACCTGTTCTCTCACTGAGCGCAAATCTAAAGTTGATCAGTTTGATTTCAAATGTGTAATTTTTTTAGAATTGAGCTAAAAAACATTCACAAAAACAGAAAAGTTTGTCAATAATGTGAATGGCTTTCAATTTGCCATTTACCAAGATGTTTCAGTGCAATAAAATGCAAGTTGCACCAGGAAATTGTAATGCAACCTGCAGCAGAAATGTTCTTTTATTGCACCTCTTTCAGCCGAGGTGAAAGTCAAAATGCGTTGCCAATCACAGGCTGAGAGGGTGAATTATAGGAGGAAAAGTGTGAGTCACTGCACGGGAAGAAAATGACTATCATTTCATACTGCTGTTGTGTTTGCGTGTTCGTTTGTGCGTGTGTGTGTGTCTGTGTATGTGTGTCTGTGCATAACCATAAGAAAAAGGCGAGGAAAACCATCCCAAGTGACAAAAAATAAAATAAATCAACATTTCTTTCTATCAAAAAAAAGGCAGATTATACAGGATCCAGCCACTAATGACTTATTTTGCACTGGTGTTGTTTTTGTGTGTGTTTGTGTGAGCGCGTGCGTGTATTTGTGTGTATGTATGTGCATAAACATAAGAGAAAAAACATCTCAAGTGACAAAAAAAATGATTTCTACTTTTTGCGCTATCAAAAACAAAGCAGTATATACTATTGCTAAGGCAAGGCAGGATTATCTGTTTAGAACAATTCATACACTAGGCAACTCAACGTGCAAAGAATGATAAAAAAATAAAATCGAACTGTTTTTAACCTGGATTTAAATAGTGTCAGAGAAGGGGCTTGTCTCACATTTTCTGAAGACTTTTTGTTCTATATACGCAACCCAGCCACCATAGGCACACTAATTACATATTGTACGTCTAAGGCTGGGCGATATGGCGAAAAAGTAATATCTCGATTTTATTTCCTGCTTTGGACAATTTTGAGTTTAAATCGATTTTAATTAAAGTCACCTAAGACAGACTTTGCCCTTTAAAATATTTTTTTTTTCTTTCTGCTCAGTATTCAAGTTTCAAAACTATTTTTAATTTGTTTCCCCCAATACGTATTATACAAATCTTGTACAAACTGTGCTGATATTGCAAGTATAATTCATTTGCTGCTGGAACTCTCACAATATCCTTCATTCAATTTCACGATTTTCACTTTTTTCACAAATTAGATTCTTTAAAAAGCCGATTAATTGCCTAAATTCGATTTATTGCCCAGCCCTATGTACGTCTGTTTCAATGAGTGACAAAGCACATATTCAAATGCACGTCCTAAATACACTAGCCGCATTCCCCCCGTTTCCTCCTCCACCTGTTTAGTTACAAGCATCTCCGACTCCGTGTGAAAGAATCGCCTGTACTGAGGAGGGTTGTTGCCCGCGGTAACAACCCTCCTCAGTTCTTGGGATGATGTCTGCGAGCTCCTGCTGATGTGTATGGAATATATAGCAGCGTTCCTGAGAGAAGCCTGTTATATATAAATGTCTGTTTCCATTCCATCGGCACAGACGCACAGACGCATCAAAAGTCTGTTTATGCCGCGTTGACAAAGCCACTTTCCTAACACTGAAACTCCCACAGCAGTCAATTTGACGGCTTATCATTCTAGAAGTGTCCGCTTACGTACGTTCTTGACTTTTTCTGTGTGTACATGTAGTTCATATAGCGATGAAATTAGGTCAGCTTTAGTTACCATAGCAACACGCTGTTTACATGCATCAGTTAGCATTATGTTTTGCTGTATTTCATTTACTTATATTAACCGGTTTTAGCATGTATCAAAGATAAAACCCTGTTAAATTAGCCCTAATGAATTAATGTTAATAAAAAAATAAAATTCTTAAAAAATATAAAAAATAATTACATTTTGGGGGATTTTTTCCAGATTTTTTAAAATTTGGATTTAATTTAATTTGGAGCACAAAAAAGAAGCAAAATCTTCAACTTTAGCACAAAAAAAGAAGCAAAATTCCCCACTTTTTTATAATAGAGATGCAAGAATTAAGTACAGTTCTTGCAGTTTCAGAAGTCTGTGTGTCCAGTTGTTAACTCCATTGTCTGTCTGTTTGATGTGGTTCAAAAAGCAATGGGTCCGTATCCTGTGTAACGCTTGAGACGGCTCTAGACATGGTTGTGTAATTTCCAAACTGTTTAATTCAGAACCGACTTCAAAATGCGAACCTAACAATGTTCTGCTCTGAAGGATCCAGGCTGTACCCCTAATGTATTTATTCTATTCCGAGACCACTTATCATGACATAATTCTGCTTTTTGATGGTCCATATATTCGCAGCTGATTTATTAAGAGGCCTGTAATTATAATAAGAAATCAATTTGGGACGGTAGGAAGAAGACGCAGAGAAAGAGACAGAAATGGGAGACAGAGATGGTTTCTGTAGAAAATCTTCCCACGCGCCTTTCGGTCATTAAAGCATATTTAAGCTGAATATTGTCTAAGAATAAAGAGGTTATTATTTCGTTTGAATCAAAGAGCTTAAACGTTGCATAATACTCCATACGCTCAGTACCCGTTTTTAAAAAAAGGGGGATGTTCCTGGTTAAAAAAGGTCAATAACTAAAAACCACATAAACTGGATTTGGCTGAGACAGGGCCAGCAGATGCATTTACGAGCGCAGGGAAAAAGTCAAGAAGCAAAAATGGGAGACAAAGATTATTTCTGTTGCGAATTTGTCCACGCGTCTTTTGGTCATTAACGCACATTTAAGCTGAATATTGTCCAAGAATAATGAACTTAATATTTTGTTTCATTCACAGAGCTTAAATGTATATAAAAAAGGCAATACCTTAAACCCCCTGGTGGGCCGCCAGGGTATTGCAGGGGGGTCGCGAGAGGTCATTAATTATTATTTTTAAATATATAATTATTGTATGTTAAATCAATAATATTTTGTTTGTAATATCAAAATATTTGTGCTCATTATTTTACTTGAATAATCAAATTGTATTACAAAATGGGGGGTGTCATTTACATGTTTGTAGCAGAGGCTATTTCCCCCAAATAAAATAACGAGAAGAGCCTATTTTAACGTTGTCTTCTTGGTTATTATTTTGGGGGGGCCGCGCAGACTCGTCAGATTTTTAAGGGGGCCGCTGTGGGACTGACTTTGGGAATGGCTGCCTTAAACCATATAAACTGGATTCCGCTGACACGGGGCCAGCAGATGCATTTAAGAGCGCAGGGAAAAGCCATGTCGTACAATAGAAATGTATGTATTTGGAATCACATAAGAAGCTTCTCACTCGCTTTTTGATGGCCCTTATATGCACAGCTGATTTATTAAGAGGCCTGCAATTATATTAATAAATCAATTTGCGAGCAGGATTAGGGACGATAGGAAGAAGACGCAGAGAAAAAGACAAGAAAAAGGTTTCTGTAGCAAATCTTCCCACACGCCTTTCGGTCATTAACGCACATTTAAGCTGAATATTGTCTAAGAATAATGAACTTATTATTTCGTTTCAATCAAAGAGCTTAAATCTTGTGTAACACTCTATACGCTCAGTGCATGCATTTACACATCACCCGTTCGTCAAAAGCAACAATGCGATTCTATGGGTTTGTATATGGCTTTTAAATCAGCTGCAAAAGCCAGTGCCGCTCTGCATATAGGCTCTAATTGAATGTCTGCAGCTCATTGTCATGCGGCGAGGCTTCCATAGCTTCACAATGTTGATATGTCAAGCTTAGAATCTGCTTTCAGTGTGTTTTTGAAGAGTCTGACGCAGAAAAAGACGTTACCGGACAGGTTGACTGTACTGTGTGTACTTTCAGCTAAATAGCAGTTTATCGATTGATTAAAAAGGTGTGAAACGAGACGGAGACTGCGGTTCCTATTTGTGAAAGAGGCTGGGGTGAGGAAGTACAGAAGGTTAGTGCCAGACCAGTGATGTTTTATAGCA